GGTTTCAAATTATTGTTCTAGACTCCATGCATATAGTTTCAATGTATGAGTTTTTTAGGTATACATGATATTTTCATTTTACCACCTATAAAAATCAGTCTTCCCTTATGCTGACTATGAGCGTCTTGGAGAAAAACCTTTTTATACTAGCATACCGAAGGGTGTGGCCTAGCGGTCAATGAAGTTAGAATGGATTATGTGATTAGGGGTTTTAACTACCTAAGGTCTCAGGTTCAAATCCTTGCTGAGACAAAAACACTAGGTGTTTTCTTTCCATTTGTCTAAGCTTTGGTAGATAGAGTTACCTGGTACATGTTGCTGGTAGGAGGTAGCAGGTATCCCTTGGAACTAATTGAGGTGCGCGCAAACTGGCTCGTACTTTACGGTTATAAAAAATATCAGGGTTTTACCTTTAACAATCAAAAAAAATTATGAGATCAGGGTTCAAATCCCATGGAGGCAAGAAGGTGTAAGGTGATTTCTTTTCGTCTAAGTTCTGATAGACAGTTATTCAATGTCGGTATTGATGGAAGGTAGCAGGTACCCATAGATTAGTCGAGGCTCGCAAAAGATGGTCCTGACCCCATTGTTATCACAAAAAAAAGGGAAAAGAAGAGACTTGGCTACTTGAGTTGTTTGCGGATGGAGCCAATGGTTTGTAGCATGCATTATATTTCTAATGTATTGGGTCGTATGTGCACTTACATGTACTTTCTTCACGCATTTGTTTATTTTACTATATCTAGTTCTTCCATGTTTTTTTAACCATCTCTATCTTGCTTCAGGGAGTTTGTGAACAATGTTTGGTACATAAAGATACTTTCTCCACTCGAAGTGCAACAGATGGGGAAAGACGGCCTTGATCTTCCAAATGCTGGCCTAGTACAAAGGCTTCCTAGCAATGGCGTCGGATGTGATGACTATATGAACCAAAAGGGCTCCCAAAATGCCATGAATGGGATACCCTTGGGGTCGCTCGACTACTAATGATCAATAGTGACCCCTGCCTAAGGTAATTGTTCCATATGGTGGTTGTTGCCCTTGGTTAATGTCTGCAAATTTCTTGTACCCTTTGTTGTGTCAAAATGTCATGTATCTTTCTACCTAAAGACAAGGGCTAAGTGTCATTTGAAGCTTGTATCCCAGATAAGTACACTGTAAATTATAAATATTATTATTATTGATAAGCCTGTGGAACTACCTTCTAGAGACCAACTGCAGAAATATCTAGTTAGCAGTAGCCACAGTTGACTTTGCTAGATCCATATATTGTACTTTTTTTATATTGTTTTTCGGATAAAATGCCGTTTTACACCTCTATTTGGGAGGTTTGAGATCAATTATTGGGACAGACAGACTGGTACAACAACAGTTGACCTCGCTTTATTTAAACAGCCAAGGTCTAAGACCGTCTCTTCTTTTACACATTCTTATTCCTCCTCTCTCGATGCTAAAGCGTCTAGGTTGGTTGAGTCGCATGAGCTCCGAAGCCCTCTAGTTCACAAATTCATAGCACTTTTTCCATGTTTGGCAAAAATTTCATTGCAAAGGAGGCACATGGTCCTTAGACGGACTTTTTAAATTTCTTTTCCCCTTTTCTATGTAAGGGGCTGAAGGTGCAATTTGAAAATTATAATTTGATAATCTATAATATATATAAAGGAGGGGAAAGAAAGAGTGATGTGGCATATCTCTTTGTTCAAGAATCATTTTTTATCTTTTTTCTTAATTTTTTTGGCATTCCTCTAATTTTTTTTCCATTTATGCGCTATCTTAAAACACCAAAAGTCACTTCTTAAAAGGTGCTTTATCTAAATAACTCACTAGTCGCCTGACGTTACCAAATTTCTTTTATCCTTGGACGTTATTGAATTAAATAAGGAGACACTCAAGCAAAATATATTGACAGACATGACCCTTATTTTACACAAACGGTTCATCCTCCATTCTTCTTATTGTTCCATTTCTTTTGTGTTTCTTAAAATCCAGACATTTCGTTTTGCTCTTTGCATAGTAGACTGCAAAGAGATGATGGACGAAGATGACACAGCCAACTGTAAAACAAACTTTGCAGTGCAAGCAAACTAGGTAAGAGACCGCTGGTGAAGAAAATGTCTTCTGATGCTTGTGCTACAAACCCAATACATGAAATCCTCCGTTCAATCTTCTTCCCTTTTTCTAAAAAAAATTTCTCTTTGTATATTTTTTTCATATATTTTTAAAAAAAATTATTTTACCTTATTAATTTTAAATAGCCCAAAGTGAATCTTTGGAACTTCTGTGCCTTTTTTTATATCCCAAATTAAATTTGTGAAATGTTTAAATTGATTGATGCCTTATTGTTTCTCTTTGTGGTACCTTTTTGTATTCCGCTATTAGGGGGTGTGTGGCCAGTTTCTAATTAAATTTGAAAGACACTATTATAATTGAGCAGAGCAAGTTTTCAAGCTTCAAAATGAGATAGCAAGCTTAACCCGACATGTATTTGATAGTATTTTATAAATTTAATGTTATGAGTTTTTCTCCTATCTGTTGAATTGTTATATGGTTTGAGTTCACGTAAAGCTTACTTGTAATAAGAAATGACAATGGATTACAAAGAAAAGAAAAAGAAAGTTTATTGATAGTTAATACTATTTTCTTGAACAGTTGGGAGGGAGGAGGTCATGGAACTTGAAAGCAATATACTATGTGCGAGGAGGAATGTATTACCACTATACGCCTTTTTGGCATAAAACTTCTCTTATTTCTTTCTTTAGCTTTTTTAAACAAGGTGTAGATTAGACGATAATCATTATTGTATATTAAAGATTTTAACGAAATTAGTTTTGGTTCTTTTGACCAATTTTTTTGTTTATCAGCTTGATTTGTTCTTAGGTAGGCAATGGTATTGGATACTCTAAATGTTGCTCTCTTTTTCTTCCCACTCCCCATTACTGCGCATACGTTGAGTTTGTAAATTTTGAAAATACATTTGTTTTTGCATACGTTATAAAGACAACCATTATTTGATTAATTTCATATTCAGTAGGTCCATTTGAAAAGTTGAAAGAAGAATAACATCAATTTGACCCTATTTTAAGCTGGATAATGTCTAGATTTTAATCACAACTGTTTCAGCAAATTGCATGGGGCACCCTATTTGGTCGCCCCCATTTAACCTATACCCATTTTTTTTAAAAACTTTCAACTTGTACCCACTTTTTAAATAACTTCAGCCCCTTTCTCCTCCTCCTTGCTTTGCAACTCTCTCGAATCATATACAGGAGAATCTCAGCTAAGCAGAAAATATATTGGATCCATTACAACTGGATATCCTTCTAAATGGAACAACATCGTCCGTTTCTCTATTAGAATAGTATAACATGAACTTAAACTCTTTGTTGATACTTGTTAAGTACGGAGGATTATTTAAAACAAGCATACTTGGACAACCAGTGGTGATATCAACTGACCCAGAAATCAATTACTATGTCTTCCAACAAGAAAATAATCTCTTCCAATGCTGGTACACAAAGAGTGCTTCTGCTCTCCTTGGAAAGAAAGGCTTGAATGTCCACGGCGGAGCTGAAGACAGTACTCATCAACACGAATGATAATCAAAGGAGTTATTAGTATCTAGGTTAACTAAATAACTTCAGCTCTAGAGCTGAAGTTTGACAGTTACAAAACAAAAACTTCAGCTCTAGTTCGCTAGTTACAAAACAAAACTTCAACTCTAGAGCTGAAGTTCGCCAGTTACAAAAACAAAAACTTTGCCAGTTACAAAACAAAAACTTCAGCTCTAGAGCTGAACTTCAGGCCCGGCTACTAGAATGCTGAAGTTTTGTATGATTGTCTTTGCTACTTCAGCCCCGTATGCTAAGTTATGCAAAAAAGTGGATATGCTTGCAATTTTTTTTGCAAAGCGGGCACAAGTTAAAACGTGACACAAAAAGCGGGTATAGATGCAAATGCCCCCAACTGTTTTAAGCCTAATTATTTAATGTCTATCAACCCATAATCTTACTATAACTTCACATATCTGGTATGAGAATTAGTGAAAAGTGCATGATAAACTATCAAATAGGAGTAATAATCATTTTCTACTTTTAGTATTTAAACAAAATTAATTTGGGGGTTAATGGTTATATGGAGAGTTCCGGAGTTAATTGGAGAAAATATTTATATTTTGTACATGAAAATTTTATTTCTTATATCTCGATTAAATGTACAACAAGATCAAAACTTAAATTCGTTATTTTTTTTATGATCGCGCGAAGCGCGAATAAATTGACTAGTTAAGAGTTAAACCTTGATTAGCCTGGAAAAAACAAGAGCAAAATTTATTTATAGCCACTCGGGCCAAGCTTATAGCACCCGATAGTCCAAAATTACAATATATTATTTTATAACCCAAAAGTAATTCTAGTGGCTAGCCACAAAATCAACAAGCTGAGAAGAAAGAGAGTTGAGTTCATCAGTAGATTTGGATTTGAGGAAAGCGAGCAACTGATCACGGGATGGACCATTTGAACTCGCTGCGATTAGACCCAACACTACGTGGATCGACAAAGGGGAAATGACCATGTTGTTGTCCCCTTTAACCTCGGTTGCAAAAACATGTTTCGCTAATGTTAAGGATACGCCTGTTTGGTTGCTGATCGATTCTTGAAGGTCCATTGTTATGGAGATTATTTGGGTATTTTTGTGATTGAGTTAGATTTTTGAAGAGTCAAAAAGACAGAGACACGTTTAAGTTTGAACAGTGTTTAAAGCCAATACTAAGCATACAAGTATGGAAAATAGACTGTCACTATACAAAATATATACAAAATAGATTGTCACTATACAAAAAATATACTAAATAGACCATCACTATATAAAATATATATAATTTATATACAATAGACTATCTCTATACAAAATAGACATTTCGGGCTATTAGATGTAATATGTTTGGGCCAAAGGGACATTTGGTATCAATGGAAAAAATCACGGGCTATCAAAATTTGAGGGGCTATAGAGGGTCATTTGCTCAAAAAAATAAAGCCAAATCTTGATTCATATTCATTCACATTCTATTGTAAAAATAGCATGGGCTAGCCAGTTTTCGGACTGGTCATTCAAAAATAGCAAGCGTTTGCAAAGTCATTGAAAATAGCCACTATTTTTCTGGAACACGGAAAGTTCCAGCATAATATACTAGAGATCGGTGCACTTGTGTATAACTCCAACACGCGGAAAGTTCCAGTATAATATACTGGAGATTGGAGCACCGATGCTCCAATCTCCAGTATATTATGCTGGACCGGCATATTATACTGGAACTCCAGTATGATATACTGAAGTTCCAGTATATTATACTGAAGCATTTTTTCGTATTTTGAACAGTGTTTTCGTTCAGATTTATTTTTACATGAAAAGTGGTTATATTTCGATTACTTTTAAAATTGTGGCTATTTTTGAATGACCACTTGTAAAACTCACTATTTTTGAATTTCTTCCTATTCTATTTAAGGTCAATATAAAAGGAAACATACATCAAACTTGCTCCAAGTAATTTCATAGTTGACAAATTGCACACTTCCAAGAGATGATCGAAGAACCTTATGGACAGAATTTTCAGCTTGATTCTGAAATTGAATTATTAGTAACAACATACCATGCCATAAAAATAAATAACTTGCAATATAATTTGACATTTCTGACTTAAAAAATGAACACAGAGAGAGATTTAATTTACTAAAATTGTGGCAGCTCGGTACATAAAATATCCCATCTTCACGCAAAATCGAGAAAAGGCCGCACCCTAAGTGTTAGCCCCTAATATTGAAACGTGATAGATGTCGAGCATAACCAATGTCAAGAGCTTGTACATTGCCCCTTGACACGGGTTCGAGTGGACATTGGCAAGCAATGTGCAGAGCTGGGTGTGTACCTAAGTTGGCGCATGGACTTAGGCAGAGCAGCTTGACAAGGTGCCTTGAGTGATGGCACGATAGTCTTGGTTGTGGGCGACAACTATGGCAAATGAAGGCATGCAGTCGCATGGCACTTGACAAATGCATGCGTATGGCTATGACGAGCATTGTCATGAGCTGATTATGTGCGGGGCATGGTCCAAAAGACAAGGCAAGTCTTGCGGAATGAAGTGGGGGCAAAGCTGGAAAAAGTGTGCAAAATACATGACTGGAAGGCAGTGTGCTATGCATGTGGTGTGGAAGTTATGCCATGTTCAGTGCACATGAATCAGTTGGCTTGAAGGCTGAAGGTGGGATAATTTAATGAGAATCATCTTCAGACAATGGCCAAGTGTTTTACTTGTTTGTAGGCCTTGGCATGTGCCAGGCACACCCCA